CTTACCCAATATTAAAGAAGTCGATCTTTTTATAATCCGCACAAAAAGCGTGCTGCACTTTTCTGAAATAAAAAAAAAAAAAACAATATTTGAAGGTAAACTTGGGCTGTTGGATAACTGGCCTCCATCGCAGTATGGGCCAACCTTGCAAGTGCAGAAATTGGATTGTTCCGTCTGCTGAATGGGGGTGGGAGGAAATGGTGCCATGACCTATTATGCTGCAAACTTCATGTGTATAAGTGTATTTCTTTACTGCAACTGCAAGTATCTGAAACACAAGTTGGTTCTACCAGTTAAGGAGTGTTATTTAATAATTAGCCTCGAGATGCATGTAAACTGATCTTGGGACTTGAATATCCAAAAAGGACTGATTTAAACTATCATCCCATCTGGTTAATTACAAAAGAAAATTAGTAACATCCAATCTATGGGTATAGCCACATAGGCAAGGAAGGAGTCAAGTCTAACTTTTACGGGAAGCACCAAGCAGAGTCAAGTCTAGTTGGGTGGTGAGATACTTGAATCAAGCATAAAAGAGGGAATGGGTGATAAGGTTTCCTTCAAAAGCAATAGGATTTGAAAAAAAAAAAAAAAAACATGATAAATTAATGAGAAACTACTTTGCTGCAAATTTCCCAATCAACTAAGATCAGTTATATTTTCTTGGAAATGTGGCATGCATAATACTACACACAACAACAAAGTCAAGTTATTCTTTCAATGAGATGTTTATCTTTCACCAAACACGTCAACATTTTCTCCAAGCCAAACGACATAATTGGGCTGCTACAGTCATCTTCATGCACACACCTCAACCTATCAGTTGAACACATACTATCAGGATTAGCCACTGAAATTTTCAGATTCTTAAGTTGTGACACCATGAATCTTACATTAGTGAGGAAGTATGAGTAAATCCAATATATAAATGATTAATCACTATCAATCCCTTAAGTTTTAAGCTTTTAAGGATAAGTGGATTTTGGTTCAAAGATTTATCAGTTTAATGGTAAATCTTCTCTCCAAGAGCTTTCTTGGTATGTAATATTCTTCCTTTAATTGCCAAATATAAGAAATTTCAATTGTTCACATCCATCAATGTTGATATCCTACTAATTGTGATGGTAAGCTTTTGGATAATTTGCGATGCAATCTTGACCTCCACATACTCATAAAAGAAAGTTCAATAGTGTGATGCCGAAGAAGCTAAGAGATATGGACAAAGTCGAAACCTTTACACTTTAGTTAATGGCAAGTAAGTTGAATAAGCTTTCTGATAAAATAGAAACAAGAAGGTATCTCATGCTATGCTAGAGTTTCCTTTAGTAGGTGCTCATGAGAAGCATTTTATATGTTTTAATATATTATTTTAACTTTAATTTTATTATTATTTGCATG